TTTCCGGACGGCCCTTCAACAGCTCTGATGTATTCTTGATATTGATAACGATAGGCCGGAACGGTTACTCGCACAAAGCTACTATGTATGACACAAATCGAGCAACACAATCCACAAGATGCACAGCCATCCTATCAAAAAAGTCCTTCGTTCATAGAATATTAGAATATTAGGTACAGCGCTACGTGCCCCAAATCAGCTCAACGCTCAGGGTCTAGATTATTACTTGCTACTTACATGTACACCCATCGACACTCGGACGCATTGACATGCGAACCCAACACAGTCGAATGCGGTATCACAAGGGCCTTCACAGTCTTGACCCGAACGTTTAAAATCGGATGTGGGGAGCCCGAGCTATGTGGCGTGGTTAGGAAGGTGTTATCTTTCGTCATTGAATGCGACGAGTTGGGGTAGTCACCTCTGCAGGCATAGCCATCTGACAAAAAACGATTAAGTGGACTTGGCGTCGAGCTTGACGAATAACACTCACTGAGCGGAATGCGAAAAGTGTGAGGATGAAGAGAGAAAGATTGAGTTGCATTTTAAGGTCGAGTGGGGAAGTGACTGAAGGGTGTTGGGATGGTCTGTGGGGTTTATATCACGCAGTTTGGTGTTCGGGTACATCGGCACATAAGAGAAAATGTGTTGCCGGTTGAGCGATTCTATTTCTAGCGCCGCTGTTCGTTAATCTTGACAGCTGGAGACACAGAGGGGTACGTTGAGAAGTACTCGTTGAGGTTCTTGTAATGGAGAGGTGGATATATAGGTAAGATGCTATATCGAACGACTGCTCCGATCTGATTATATAGGTTGCTGGGACCATTACACTCGTCATGCGGCGAAAAAATAATGAATAATTTCGCTTTAGCTTTGGTGCTATGGAGCGGCGACTTACTGGTGAATAAGTACGAATAGATACCAGTCATTGATTTCTACTCAGAGTCACAGTTGGCCACATTGCATGATGATATTCCAGACGGCATTTGGAGCTAATGCGAAAACCTCACGGAAATCTTCACGATAGTAAGCGGACCCTTTGTGAAAGCAGCAGGGACTTCATCGAACAATCCGTTAGTAATAACGCCAGCACCGATTGCCGACAGTGTCAGGGAGAATAAGTACTGTTGAATACTCACCACGAACCAATCGGCAACAATCACTTGACCCAGTGTCATCAGCGAACGATAGAAAATCGGTTCATCTTATGAGGACAGATGGTGGCGTGATTCTGATCTTGATGTTCGACTGCTTTCGTTCTGGGAAACGTGATTGAAGACTGGACTGAGACGATCACCAAGTTGATACAGGGTGTAAGGTTGGAAATGCACGAAACGATTAAGACGATCCATAGAACTAATGAGCGACTGAAGTGTATCTTGATGCATTGCCAACGTTTCCATCGTCGGCGAGCGGAAAGGAAAGAACGTAAGTTGGGGTAACGCAAGACCAAGCTCCATCCCCTCTCCCTTCCTTACGCAAATCAACACAAAACGAAGCACCTTGCCTCAATAAGGCGAACCAGAGCCAGTCCCATGATGAACATCTTGCAGTATCATTCGGCTCATCGCTCGATCACCCGTCTTCTGTGTCAAATTGCAGACTGTGATGACGGCACTGGATTTTGTTACGAGGGATTCGCTTGCTCGGAGTTGCGTGGGAATATTCCTTGCACATCAATGACGCTACAAACCCAAATCAGTTCAGAGTCTAAATCTGTACTTGCCACTTACACCTATACCTCCCGATTGCAATGGGACACACATGCATCCTGTAGCACCCCACCTGTCACAGTCAGATGATTTATTACAATATCCTCCACAGGATTGACTTTGAGAAAGGGATGTTCGGATCCCAAGCTAGTAAAATGATGTTTGTTTCATTGAGATAGAGCGACCTTGGAAATAGATTGAGCGTTATCACTTCTGCGGGAGCAGCCATCTAAACAAATATGACAAGTCAATATTCGGAGAATAGGGTGCAATCAATACCTTTGGCCTCCTCTACTCTCGTCATATCGGGAAGAACACGAACAAAATATGGAATAAAAGTATAGCTATTCATCAAGCCCAAACGTAGATATATATGCAAAAGAAAATAGAGGCACAAACGAGGCATATATACCAAAGAATTGTCCTCGTAGAGCGGCGATTTTCACATGCGTCCTGAATACTTTCAAACCGTTCTGCATCGGCCTCCTTTTTCGGATAGATAACCTCCATCCCTGGATAGCGCCTATCCTATATAATCTTGGCCCGATCAGAGATCGAAGGATCGAATCCCCCTTCAGACTGAAGGCAGATAAATGCATCAGGGAGATTCCTGCTCAAATGGCAATGGTGCAGGTAATTAATTCATTGTTGGATACGAGTACATGATTAAAAATTATGTAATGGCGTATTTCGCATCGACCGACGAGCATATACGCTCGTAGCGGGTTGACCCTTATACAGTACTGGTGGCAAGAGGATTTACATCCGTGGAGATGACGAGATTGGAAGCGTGGGATCGGTATCTGAGCTGGGTTTAGGGTTCCGAATCCGAGCTTGTCCTTTTACTTACCCTGACGTTCATCGTCTCCCGCCTTTCTACTTAAGGCTCCGCCACTCCCTCTCTATCTTCCTCAAAAGGAAGAATCATGCTTTATCGTTAGCAGTAGAGCGAGGATTCAGCGCCTTCCGTATCGAATCACGCACTCAGCAATGGAATTTTGTCGAAACTTGGATTGGGACGCGACTTTTGGGCCCGGGTTATACTTTCAGACTTGGATGAATGAGGAGAATGACGCTTGGAAAAATGGTTCCTTCTACCATTCGTTCAACGCGGCCACCGAAATGCACGTATCCTGGCGACAAAGTGCGTCTTCTCCCGCTCCTGTCCCGTAACCCATACCTACTCACACGTAGACGCGCAGATTTCCATCCACGCTATCAGCAAAACCACCCTTCGTTTAACAAAGGCTGCGGAAAACCGCGGAACGCTGACTTCAAGACGAAGACGTACGGGACACCCTTTCCCGTTCATTGTCTCGATATTTACCCACCTATCGTTCGACGTCCAGTCTACCTCCCACTCGTCTGCTCAACCTTTGACGCTACCACCACCCCCGTTTCGTTCATCCCTACCAACTATTCTTGTCACCTGTCGCCAGTGGCCGCATCTACTGCTTTGCCCTCACAAATCCGACCCAGATCGTTCAGATTTTGGAGACCCAGGCGAACTAGAGGTGAAAGGATGAGTTGGATGAAAAGCTGCGAGTGATTGTACGTAACATCTTTCGTTACATCACTCTCTTACTGACTCCCCAGCAGTTTGGATCGCACAACTTCATTCTCTATCTTCCCACAGAAACACTCGATGATACCCTTCCAACATCTTCTCCTAGCACCAAGGCCTATGGGAATGCTCGCAACCCTAGTGTTAGGACAAGGACGTATGTCGCATCTCCCCCGTTCACTGTCGTCTCGATGTCTACTCACTCACCACTCGACATCCAGTTTACCTCACAATCTGCAATACCTTCGACGCTACCACTACTCATTGATCCACCCTCGCCGCCTATGCATGTCAACGGCTGCGAGTAGCAACTCTCCCTACTAAACTGAACCAGAAGACGCATCGGAGCTTTGATCGAGTGATCGGTATGCAAGTTGCGGAAGAGAAGGATGTAGAGCTGAAGTCCGTACCCTCTTTCATTGCAATCGTTTATCGGATCACCGCTTCTCCCGTAGTTCCAAGTTGTGAGAACTAAGAAGATCAGCCGGGCCATGGCTATACCTGTCCCGTGACGCGAATGAACACGAGACAAGACCCCCTTGCATTCGCTTGTACCTGCCTTAAGGAGACGAAGAAGATCAAGTCCACCCCATCCCCTTTCCCTTCATTATACGTTCTTTCCGGACCATCCCTCGATTGTTCCGTGTAATCAATAGCAATAGAACGGAATGGCCACTCGCTCAAAGCTACCAGAGTCATATCTATGTATGTAGGACCCGAATCGAGTAACACGATCCCCAGAGCGCCCATCTATCAAAAAAGTCCCTCGTTCATAAAATATTACAAACGTTCCATGTACATCAAGTCCAACGACAGACCTACAAACCCCCGAATCAGCTCAGCGCTCAAATCAATAGTTGGCATTTACACCTTCGAAGCATATACATCCCGCTGACCCAACACAGTTGAACGGAGTCTCACAATCGCCTTCGCAGTATTGTTGTCGAATAAGGGATGTTTGGATACCAAGCAGTGTGGTAGGGTTAGGAAGGGTTGGGGGTATTCACCTCTACAGGTGCAGCCATCTAACAAAAATGATTAAGTGGACTTGGCGTCGAGCTTCATCAATAACAAGACAGGTTAAGCTGCATTGCGAGGTCTGTGGGGAGGTGACTGATTCGTGTTCGGCTGGTCTGCGGGGTTTACATCAGGTGATTTGGTACATCGGTACAATAAACGGAGATAATGCCTATTTTTCACAGCTGTGGTTCTACCGTTTGTTCGAGAGTAAAGATAGAAGAGCGTTGGCGATTCTAGTTCTGGCGCCCGCCGTTCATTGAACATGACAGTCCAAGACATTGAGGGGTACTTGTTAAGGTTTTTGAACTGTAATGGGGGAGTTCATTTCTAGATCTGAGCACAGATTTACATACAATGGCAGGATCCCACTATATAGTATATCGAACAAATATACAGTTGGTGCGACCGACAAAAGAGTTGCGAACGTCATGGAAGTAGCCCACCGCGAGGGTCGAACTCGTAGCCCTCAAATCCGAATAAACATATTCTCCGGAATAAGAGTCCGGGATATAAATGTGACGTTATTGATGGGAGATACAGCTTGGACCGATGTGATGCGGATAGGGCTCTCGCCCATGTGGATTGCGCGGGTGTTGGGCCGATGTAAAGGCAGAGGTCACTATTCCCATTAATGCGTATCAGGTGTGATTGAAAAACATCAATAGGAGACTTCTAGACTAAAAACAATAGCCCTCGATTTATACCGACGCCAGCAGGATTTGAACCTGCGCCCTCAAAGAGGAACAGATTATGATGTCGAACTTCTCTGATTCTAATCTGTCGCCGTAACCACTTGGCTATAGCGCCTTTGAGTAGACCTTTCCCTCAATGAATATGAAAGGGTTCTCGAACAACGGGAGATTCGCTGTTCAATACCGTCGGCAAGCGTGATTTACATCCGCGGTGATGGGGATGTTCCACTGGGTTTAGGGTTCCAGGATTGTGGTCTTAGACACACTCTCCTTCTTCTTGTTTCACTTTGTGGCTCACGTTGACATTCTCAATGGCAAAAGTTCACGCTCTGCTATTCCCTCTCTCAGTTTCATCGGCACAGCGCATCAGTTCCTTTCTGCTCTTCTGCTCATTACTTACATACCCATCGAGTGTACCCGGCCGTCAAGACACCGTTTGTCACAACGCTCGCATTGTGACGACAGAGTATGTTTGATCCTCGGGCCTCCGCAGTTGCTGTTTCTCTATCTCATTGATATCGCACGCAGATCCCTCTTTCCGGAACAGACCTTCCTCTGCACGACTACCCATGGATACGAAGCCCCTTGATCAATTCCTTAAGGCATCTCAGGTCCCCTTCCTTCGAGGTTTGGCATGGACCTTGGCATTGAAAGCAGCCGACTAGTCAATATTAAGGCTTGAGCAAGATTAGAACTAAGGAGTGAGAATAAGTCAACGCAGAGAGCTTTATGCTGTGACATGATCTGAAATACAAGTTCTATGTGACATTGACACTGGTGGTAGCATTTTGAACTGTGTTATCTTCTCTACTGGTGTCCTCGTCGCCAAAGCTGACTCCCAGGGCTATGCGAAAGATGATTACGGTTGGCATGATGCCCTGAAAAGAAGGCGTCAATCGCTACATCTAGTATGAGTTAAAATACGCACCGCGAGAACAGACCAGGATCGAATACAAGCGTCGATAACCACCGAGATATCCTGACTGTCCGAATTGATATACATCCCAAAAACGAAAAGTAACAGTCCAGCATATAGAATTCCTGACTCTAAACTGATGTCAAAGAGGTCAATTCATGTTCTGTTCGGCTATTTTGAGTTTACCTGATCACAATGAGTGCCCTGTACATGCTGTTTGGTCTAGAACCCAGATATCCTCTGGTGTTTTGAATCATTCTATAAATTCGATATGCTTGATGCAGTAAGAGGCCTCGATCTTCAAAAAACTGACCATGTACTCACCTATGAAACTGGATAAAGTCAAGTTGTTGAACGCCGTGGCAGCAGCAACAAAATTGGGAAGCCCCGATGTGTCGAAGGTCCCCATAAAAACAAACCCCGTAACTAGCAGCAAGTTGTTTACTTCCGTAAATTGAGCTGACGGATCTCACCATGGGAGGCAACGTATATTAATAGCGGAAGTGCGATGAACTTCCACCGGCGCCCCCACACTACATAGGTGCGGTATAACTCGACAATCCATCAGGAAAAGTTCGGAAGATGAGGGATTTGTGTTATACCAAGATCGCTTCCGCAATTGCGCTACACAAACCCTTTGTAATGTACCCAGCACGGTAGCATAGGATAACGCACTTTGTCACCAAGGCAATTGTTAAATGCGCGCCATCTAGTCTTTTCCTGTGTTCGATTCACTACATTGCCCTGGAATAATTGAGGATGTTCACATACTGGGATCGCAAGTTTGATTCGACTGCGATTGTAGGGGACAATATGTCGTATGCTACTGTCAATACTACATCGACAGAGATCAACAACAAGAGAACCATAAGAATGAGGATTAGGCGGTGATAATGTTTCCGCATCTCCTTTCGGAGAATATAGACGCAAATGCCTAGCATCTCCACATAGATCCCTGGTTCAACAGGGATAAGCTATTCATCGAAACAAGGTTATGTTCGTACCAAATAGGAGAAACTGGCACTAAAGGCATCGCATATCAGCTATAAACGCCCATTCGGAATATGTATAGTACTCACAGCGGTTCCCACTTTCAATGACAAGATTGACTCTTTGCTCGAGTTGGACATGTGTGATGGGAAGCGAGAACAAAAGACATAGATGGAAGTAACATCTTTATATAACCAGGTTGTCGATCATAACACTGGAAACCGTTGATCATATTGCCCAACTGCGAACAGAATCACACACGGACCGCGTACTTTGCTGCGGATTGATACGGGATGGAATACATAGAAACTATCAAGGTCTTTGCGACAGCTCTTCCACGGGTCTATATAAACAATCTCCTCATTAATCATTCGCAGCGATGGCCGATCTAATTATAGAGATTGCTGTGACCATTATACTCGTCATACGGCAAAAAAAGAATGGATATATCGCATTAGCTTTGGTGCCTATGAGTGGCAGCTTACTAGTGACGACCAACTGCTAGTGAAGAAGTCAAGATAGATACCAGCCGTAGATTTCTGCTCACAGCTGGCCACATTGCGTAATGATATTCCAGATGACACAAGGAACTGGCGGCATTCGGAGCTAATGCGTAATCAGGAGGGTCTCTGTCTGAGGCATTCTCACGGTAGTAAGCGGACCCTTTGTGAAGTCAGGAGGGATTTTATTGAGCAATCCGTTAGTAACAATGGCTGCCGTAGAACACTCACCACGATCACATCGGGAACAATCACTTGACCCGGTCACCCAGTGTCATCAGAAAACGATAGAAAATTTGTTCATCTTATATGGACAGATCGTGGCGTGATTCTGATCTGATGTTCGACTGCTTTCGCTCCTTGAAGACCGGGCTGAGACGATCAACAAGTCGATATAGTGCGTAGGGTAGGAAATTCACTAAACGACCCTCATAATACGTAGAAAAGATGAACGCCAGAACGTATCTTGATGCCTTTCCAATCATCGTCGGAGAACGAAAACGTTACGCTAATTAACACGAATGAGAGCACCCTACGTCGATAATGTCAACTAAAGATGTAGCTGTGGTATGTCCTTGATAGAGATCTCGCTGTACCATTCCCCTTACCTTCCGTCTCCTGTTTGTAGGCTCGAAGTATCATAGTGTTTGAAATCGTTCGTATGTTAGAATACAAAGTTGGGCGTGATGATAACCTAGGGCGCGTAATGACATCAATGACAGCGCTACAGATCCAAATCAGCTCAGCGCTCAGGGTCTAAATTAGCACTTGTTACTTACACCTATACCCCCGGATTGCAACGGAACACATATGCATCCCGTAGGACCCCACCCATCACAGTCGGAGTCCTTAGAGCAATATCCCCCACAGGATTGACGTTGAGAAAGGGAAGTACGAATCCCATGCTAGTAAGTATTATGATCAGGGAAAGTGACCCTGTAAACAGGTTGAATGTTTTCACCTCTGCAGGAGCAGCCATCTAGACAGTTATAATTGAGTAAATTCAACGTCTCGAAAAGGGTGAAGAACACCCACTGAACGGAATACAAAAAGCGTTAAGAGTATAAGAAGAGAAAGGTTGAATTGCATTGCAAGGTCGAGTGGCGAGTGATTTGTGAATGAGGTGGGTCTGCGGGGTTTATATCGCACGGTTGAATGTCCAGGTACAAGGGTACATTGGGTAACTGTGCCTATCATTCACATCTGTAGTTCTAGCGGGAGTTCGAGAGTAAATATAGAAGAGGGTTTACCGCATTGAAGGATGGCTAGTGACGTTTGAGCGACTGTAGCTGAGCCTAGACTCCAGCGCTCGCTGTTCATTAAACTTGACAGTTAGAGACATTGAGGGGTATAACAAGAGGTACTCGTTACAGCTCTTTAACAGTGACGGCGAAGTGCATTCCTTGATTTACGCACTTGTACATAGGCAAGGTCCGGCCATCGAACGACTGCTCCTTCGAATGGCTATCAACAAAAAAAGGTTAAAAGACGCCACGGAATTAACCCACCCGCGAAGGTCGAATTCGCAGCCTTCAGATCCTAATCAAAGAGCCTATTATAAGAGTCAGACGCTCTATCCTATTGAGCTAGGCGGGCTGGGCAGATTCCGACGTGGTGATTCGCTACATTGCTGGCGATCCGCGGAGATGCGTGGGAAATGTTCCTGAACTGGGTTTAGGGTTCCAAGTTTGTCTTTTTTGGCTTTGGCGTCCATGACCATCGTCCCCCAAAGACTCTTCCACCCCTCGTTTCATCCTATGGGTCACCTCGACGCTCTAAGTGAGCGAGATTGACACGCTGCACCATTCGTTCTCCTGACCACAACGACACCCAAGGTCTTTTCAAGCGGCATGCTCGTTCGTTGGCATAACTCGTCAGTCCCGTTCTACTGCTCTTTTGCTCATTACTTACACACCCAATCACAATTTTACTCCTGCCTAATCACATATTAGTCATGGAGTTGGATTGGGAAACCGGATTTGGGGGAGGACGTGGCACCCACAAACGATCGTCACCACGACCATGGAAGGGCTGGCACCATGAGGATAACGTATGTTTGATCTACCTCTATGGTTTAATATCTCATCGATTACGCACATATAGCCCTTCTACAGGAACATAACGACAGATAACCCTTTGCTCGATTACACCCGCGTCAACGCCGAAGTGAAAGACGAATAACAAAGGATATGTGGGAGAAGAATAGGAAGGGAGATTTTGAGAGGCCATTTTCTGTGTTATTCACCAGCGAAAGAACGACGAAGGTATGTCAGATCCTCCTCACTCGTTCTTGTACTTACTCTTTCATAGGCACACTCCACTTCCTGGAATGCTTAACCTGCACGCGTTCCCAAAGATGCCTCTACTCCACCTCTCTATCTTTCCTCTATCTTTCCTCCCCGACAAAGCAAGGCATGACCAACACCCGTCATCCTCCTTCGATCCCCTTTCCATACAGCTCACCGGGTCACTCGGCTCTCAAACTCTTCCTACTCGTGAACCGACCCATCGATGTTATGACACCTACGGATAGGCTACTTTGAAAACCTCCTCCCACAATATCAAAGGTCATTTTGGTTGTTTCTCCTCTCACATTCACAAGGATAACTCGGTACGTGACATTTCCTTTCGTTTCCATACTTTATGAGCCGACCCACTCCCAGGTTTTCGACCTTTCCATGGATTTCAACTCGTTCGATCTTTGACCATGAATTCGGAGGCTTTGGAAGCTAAGAAGTGTAGAGACATCCAAAGCGAATGTTGGGCGTTAAAGTGATCGGTCGCGTTCTTCGCCTACAATCACCCCCGTTTTGCCTTTCATATGGCCACTCACTTGATACGGTGCTCAGAGCATGAAGGTATGTCTAATCCTTCTCTCCCGACAGATAATAATACTTACTTTGTTGTAGATTCCAGCCCCCTCCAAATCCATGAACGTTACGTCATTCTTCTCTCTTGATCTTCTCCTTATCACAGCCCCCCCACCGCCGACATTCATGCTTCGTGCTCAATCAACGTTCCCAGCTCCAAGCCTCGGACGTGAGCCTCTCACTCCGAGAGGACCAATAAATGACGGTGTTATTCACAGGAGTCACCCTCATACCTTCTATCATACTGCGTTCCTTTCACGTAAACAAATAGGGATGTCTGATTTCGATCCGGTGTCGCATAGAGGAGACCGATAACTACAGTAGGCCGATGGTGGCATTAGTGATCGTCGTTTGGGGAAAGAATGAGTTTGTGAGGAGAGATTCCGTGGCCTTGTGTTACTCCCACGACAATCTAACAGTTGTCGTGCTCTCTCGGCCTTTGGCCCTCGCGTTTCGAGCCCTTCGCCGACGTACAAGTCGCCTTACACTCGGAAGATCTCGGCTTCCGAAGCACCAAGCGCCTGATTGGCTCACCTGGTCATAGATTGTACTTTTAGTCATCATTCTTTCCTTACTATGGCTAGAGAATAAGCTGTTGTCGATGCGGATGAAGCAGAGCATGGGCGAGAATCTGCGTGGTCTTTGCACAGCACTCGACATGTGGTGGGTGCAACCTGATCGCTGAGCGAGGCGCCCAGGAAGCCATCTGTCACATGTCATTTCTGACAGGGAGTAGATCGTCGGGAAGGCGGTGACGGATCTTCTGAAAATAATGGATATTGCAGTGTGATGAAACATACTTATAGCATGCTGGCAAGTACCTCATCACGTTTGAAGTCATCGATGAGTCCTGAGCACACGTGGTATCCTTATTGCGAGTGGAACGACTGGATATTTGGTAGATAGAGTGCGACACTTGGCCACCTCCACCCACATCATATTAATTCGCATCCTCGTCCAGGCTCTTTCACCGAAAAACCAATCCGTCGACAACTTGAGCGTCTATGCAAGCTTCTCATCATTTATACAGTCTCCGGACTATCATTACCCGTTTACCCGGAACGCTAGTATATAAATCAGCTCGTATCCTTATCTTCATTAGTCTTATCTTGCCCCTGGCCAGTACCTCGACCTACGCTGTTATAAAACCTCGTAGTGTCCAGATTACCGGTGTTCTAAGGCTCTCTAAGCTACCATACCTAGATGTCTCGTCTAGGGAGTCATTACAGTAGCACTGTACTTGACATCATCATCTATGTGCCTCGTGTCTTCTCCGTCTCTTTGACACTCCCTTGTTGTTGGTACTCCGGGGAACGAATATGAAGTCCGGCTCTATATCACTAGTGTACGGGAACGAAGCGCTGGCGAAATTGAAGCCATCACCTTTAAAATCGGAATGCCGCACAAACCCGGTATGTTACCCCCATCTGTTTCTTTTCGGCTGGTGCTTGTAAACCTCTTGACGCCGGAGATACTAATCTGTCTATCATTTTACCCATGATGGTACACGACCTTGAGGTATATATACCCAGATACCCCAAAGTGTAAAACATGCCTGAAACCAATACCGAATGCATTACAGTACAGACAAGCAAAATCGTGCGAGGAACCGAGGCGAGCCCTTTCCAAGTCAGCTTACTTGTCTCGCTCATTATGAAATCTAGATTCAAGTCTTTCTTTATGGTAGGGTAGATATCTCTGGAAGATGGCCTTCGAGCTCAACAGGCTGTCATAGGAACCTATACCGTTCTATTCGGGCTAAGCTTATATATCCTCGTCATAAAAAGATACATCGGAGTTCGACGCGGATGCCATCTGATTGTGATCCTACTCCTGTTCCTTTTGGCTTCCGCGGACGTCACGTTGTCATTGATACATGACAACTGGTTTTCGGATGTTCGTATCGCGGTAGAAGCGGGAACGAGCTGTGATGGGCTACCCTCATTGTAGTATGTTACTTTCCCAATCCTCCTCTCAGCAAGCACTATTGCATACTCACTTCGCAAATGTTAGCCGCAAGATGATCAGAGCACGGCTGGGACTGATTCTAGCAGTCAGGTAGTTCGTCAAACCCTGTGGTCTGATTGTGTGCTAATGCCTCTCGGCCGGGATATAGTGCGTTAACAGATACGATCCTGGTAAGAAACCCTCGGGTTACTGGAATGTATGACTCACTTGCGGTAGGTGTGGCGATGTTACATCGTGTGGGGAAGGAAATGGAAAGTTGTAATAGCACCCGGCATTCTTATGGTTATATCATATGGTATATTGCTCTGCCATCAAATTATCAAGGCTAACACGTTCCTAGTCGCCGCAACCGTGTTCTGTATTGGCCATCCATTACCAAAGAACTGGGTATCCGGACCAGTAGCGTTTATGGCGCATGGAGTTTTGCCTGCTGCGGCTTCCCTAAATACGTTCATATTGACAATGCTTATAGGTGAGTTTCTAGCTCATGCGTTGCTGATAATACACAAATCTTTGATTTAGCGACCAAACTATGGATCATCTTCCGCAATACGGGGGGCCACTTGGGGGAACAGCTAGCGCACATGTACCGAGTAGTGTTGGCAATAACGTAGGCTATTCTATTATCGTCGCAAATCTGTGTGACCACAGCGTATGCCCCGCACTGTCAGTTTAGAATCCGGAATGCTATACTCAGGTTTCTTAATCGTCGTTGTGGCCACATATGCAGGAAACTCAGCTTACGAAGTACAAGATGGTTGGTCAGAAGGTCACTTGATTGTGTTTACACGGATGTGGACTCTCATTGCAGTGAGTTTATTCTATTTTGCACCGGAGATTGATTGTGATGACCTTTCTCTTAGGCGATAACGCCAACGATAATTATCGTCAGAACTGCTCTCGGAATGAGCATCAACAGCTTTGAAAGCCCAACAGCCTCGATTCAAATCGACATGACTACACTCGATGATCAATCTGTTGCGTATTCGGACCCGAAAACTTCTCAGAAAAGAGCACGGAGGCATACACTTCATTAGTGACTGTATCAACCGTAGGAACCGGCCATCAACGTATAGAGTCACTCAAAACGTATATAATTTATCATATCCTTCCTCAATGCGACAACCCTCTCGTGAATCCATCTATTCTCTTCCCCGGCTAACATTGTATTCAACAAATTGAACCCGACATTGTAGAACCAGGTATGGGCTTCGGAGCAGAGGCGCACATCCTCACGCGGTGGCGGGTTAGCCGAGACAAAGTTCTCAATATCAGAGAGAATCTCGTCGAAATGTGGAAGATTCTTCATTGAATAAATGTCAACAATTACGAGTAGGTTAATAGAATCAACGTACCTCGGAAACAAGCTGAGATAGCATTTCAGTTCTTGGAACGCGATATAATAAACCGAGTGCAACTATTTGGAGCCTGAATCTCGCCTCCGCGGACACTTCATGGATGGGCGTTAGTTCCAAGCGCTTGTCTTGTGCCTTGGGCTGTACTTCATCAACATAGAAGCACTGAACGTACAACCGAGCTGCTCGTTGATCATACAGACTAATCAATGACGTGTCGCTATGCAGTGGCGGGATGTGAAGCTCGAGGTACTTCAAATTCGCCAAAAGCTCGTGACTAGCCAATGCAGAAAGAAGGTGGTTTCCGGTATATCCTCGAAGACAAAGTGTCCGAATATTCGGTGTATGAGAGAGTATCCTGATTAATGTTTGATCCATAGGTACGGTCGACTCTATCGAAAGG